TGTTAAAACGGCTTCTCCTTTTCGTAGCTACTTTGTACGCAGAGAAGAGTTTCCCAAAATAATATTATATCCCAAAGCAACAGGTCCGATAATATTTGACCAAGAGGTGGGACTGGAGAGCAGCGGGGGAGAGAGGAAAAAACACAGACTGAAAACGCTCTAAACATGCTGCACCCAAACCCAGTTACTGTTGGCTGAAGTAAATCAGCAGAAAGGGGAAAAAAGCATAAATTATTGGTGGAGACTGTCTCCTCCATGCCCAAAGCTGGTTCGGACATGTCCTTCAGAAAGTAAAGCAAATTTTATCTCAGACATTAAAAATGAAAAAAAGAGAAATTTTTCAAATGTACGACTAGATATTTTCTTTTTAATTAAAGAATGTTAATACTAATTTGTAAAGTTAAAAAAAGTAATCTATATAATAAGAAGAGTAAGATTTAAAATAAATGTTACTGGTTTTCTTGGTGTCATTCTGTTGTGAAATTCTATGCATTTTTTTCCCTCCGTGAAATAAAACATAAAAATCACCAAAAGCTGCATTTTATTTTGACTTCAAACCATCGGCTTGTTCTTTATCATTGTGAATCAAAGTGATAAAATTCAACCCTGGAAGGACTGGAGCGGCAGCCTGCAGACCCTTTGTCCTTTATAACCATTCCTAAAAGATCATTTCTTTCTTTGGAACATTTCCCACCAACCGGAGAGCTTCTACCTATTTAAGCTCTACAGCCACATTGGTGCCGATCTGCTGTCTAGAGGGTTGGAGTACTAGGCACCTCTGGAGGCATAGGCGGATCTACTGGGGTGGCATAGGGTGGCAAATGCCACCCCAGTCGGCGGTAGGGGTGGCGAGGCTTATAATTATGGATCATTTGATCATTATGACCGCTAATTTCCAATGTCGGACTGCAGTGAATGCAGCACGAGATGACGGGAGGACCACTGAGACTGATTTGTTTTGAAAACCGAATGGGGCAAAGCGAGGGAGCCAGGGGTCATGGGGAGAGGAGACACGGGATGAAACAGGTAAAAAATGATTAACTATCTATAGAGAAAT